CACAATCGTTAAACCGGGTCCGTAGGACATTTATCATTTTAACGATAGAACATTCTATCTACATGCCACACTGCAATTAAGCAAGAAAGAAGACGGAATTTAACTATCTATAAAACGTTACATAGTTAAATCAATTGCAATAGAGTCTAAATAATTCAAATCTTTTATTTTTTTTTACATTCACTTGTCATCCATTGACCTATATATATATAGTAAATCACTTAACACGGCACATGTCGTTATTTATGCTTTTCAAGTTTTTATGTTAATAATAGCCTTTTACTCGCCTTTCTAACTGGATCACATTACACAGTTAGGTCTACATTCTCGAGTTCATTTTAACATACTGAACTCAATCAACACGCACTGCCACGCAATTAAAAATTTTTCACATATTTTTTTTATTTTATTCTTCATTTTCAGTATGTAACGTTTTGTTATCTCTGTTACTCAATACATATTCGGATCCACCTAACAATTCTGGATGCTATTTATTTTTAGAATGCGTAATTACTATGCGCGACAAAGCAGTGAGTTTTTCCACTGTCATGGCGGCGGTGGTTACCTGTCCTTGTAATTCCTAGCGGCAGCGAATGGAATCAAGGGCAGAGAACCAGTGTTATCGATTCTGTAGCACTGGTTCTCTGCCCTTGATTCCAGTCGCTGCCGTTAGGAGTTGGTTTTTTAGGGCGCTTGCGCCCGTTAACCAATGTCAGGGTACCAGTCTATCGATTCTGATGAGGCGAGGGTTTGCTGAATGGGGCATGGGCACATGAAATCCGGCAAAATAAAATTAAGCCGCAGAAAGTTGATAAAGATTGCAAATTTCTACTTTATAATATAATAATATGCATTTAAATATTAGGAATAGATATATTTAGTTAAATTCTTAAAAATGATGAAATACATTCTACCTATATACTGTACTATTAGTATATAGGTCCCTGATTCTACCTGGGAAATTCCCTCCAGGATTTTCCCTTTCTTTTTGGAAAAATCTAGAAGACAGTCATTTCAGATTTCAGGTCGGTTTGTTTAGGATTTCCAATTCTTGTCTTTTATAATTTCTAATGCCAATTGCCATTTTCAAATAGATACATGCGGTTAAAATATGAATATGTTCATGTTGGGTACAGTCGCCAGAGTAAGATATAACCGTTTGGGAGGTGGGACGGGTGGGATATAATCAGGTCTGGTACAATCACTAGATTTAGCTACGTAGCTTGAATTACCTACATAGCTTTATTCACCTACCTGAAGTAGCGTTATTTAGCTACTAAATCAAACTTATTTCTTAAATTAGCATTTTTCCCAAAAAGTGCAGAAAAGTGCACTTTTATGCAGTGTAAATTTTCAACTTTGTACTCATCTGAAAACAATTCATGAAAAAATTACCCTTGAAGATGTGTCTTTTTCTGCACAATTGCAATCAAAGTTCTAAAAGTTTTGGGGCTATATACAACAGTTAATATGTGACCTAACAGTTACTTCTTGAGTGAAATAACAAAAAAAACCCAGTTTTGGTTAACATGAGCACAATGTAAAGTAATCTACTTATCCACGCCTCATTGCACACAAGGTGCAGTTACTCAAACAATGGAAATACATCTTTTCCTTAAAAGTGTTCAAATGCAGCAATGTGAAAACTATCTCTGCTTTGAATTGCTTTTTAAATAATACCTAGAATAAATATTTTTAGACATTTACTTGCGATTTTTTGTCTTTTTGAAATAAAAAGCAAAATTTGCCTTGAAATAGCTAAATTAAGCTACCTGAGGTAGGTAAATAAAGCTATGGTAGGTAATTTTAGCTACGTAGCTTAATGTCCTGATTGTACTGGACCTGAAAATTATAAATTAAATGACAAAATAATATTTAGCTTGAAGAATTGTGAATCTGCATAAATATACATAAAATTCGACAACTTTAACAAATGCTGCGCCTCGGTTGACAATTTGATTTTCTTGGGGAGAAAATTTTCAGTGTTACACTCAACTACATGCAATATTTAATAAATATTGCATGTAGTTGAGTGTAACATTGAAAATTTTCACCCCTCGAAAACCATTGTCATCCTCGGCTGCACCTCTGTTCACATTGCATGGTTTTCTTGGGGTGACAATTTTCAGTGTTACACTCAACTACATGCAATATTTGTATAATATTATACTGAGTATATGGGCACTGTCGGTCCAATAGATCACAAGTCCAAAATTTGAAACTACTGACCGATGGTCAATAGATCGCTGGTCCAAAATTCACAAACTATTGACTGATGGTCCAATAGACCACTCTAATGTTCCTTGAATAGTTCAGAGAAATGAATATACAGAGAAAACAGTCAAAAATATTATATATTTAAGAAAACAACAGAATCATTTGTGTTAGGTACTTTTTTTTCCAAATAGAGTTTGTGGTAAATAGAGTCACACCTCGTTATCTCGAACTCAATTAGACTAAGACAGATAGGAATTTTGAGATGTTGAAGTTAAAATATGAAAAGCTATTTGAGACATTGACATGCATTCCAGATACTGAAGTTCAAATGTATGAGGAGATACTTTTAACTTTTATTTTTATGTTGCTTTACAGATCAAAGTCTTGTGAATAATAGAATAAGTCAAGAAAGACTTCCCAGGGTTTTGTCACTTTTCTGGAGGACATACGTAAGAACCTTGCAAAGTAAAAGAAGTATAGAATGAGGTTCACAATCGTGACATTGTTACAGGGAACATTATTTGTTTTCCAAGTAAGTGATCATGAAATTACAATTATTAAGATAATTTTATTGACAAAAAACTTATTGAGAAGACTCTTGAAAAAAGTTGTTGGGCAGATTGAACTCTGTTGCTATTTTGCTTGTGTATGCCAAAATTCCCTAGCTCACAAATCCAGAACTTTATTGCTGTGATCAGTACCCACTTGCTGCTTTTTGAGGCGCATCGCTATCAGCGATGTAGCCTCATTGCTGTCGACCCCCAATTCTTTCTTTCAATTATGCGGCGACAAAGGACTCCACAATATTGATTCTAAATACGCTATTGAAAATAGTGCAAATGTATATTGACGAGTTGGTGATATTCATTGTCTTTTTTAAATATCAAATGACATAAACTCTCACATATACTGAGGTTTATGTTTTTTACGTTGAAAGCAAGAGAGAAAACAAAATAGAAATAAACCCCCAAAAAGAGAGAAAACAACAATAAACAAACATGTGCGCTACGTGGAGTAAGATCTATTTGCATCACAACAGCTCGTACACATAATGAAAGAAACTAAAAAAAAAATTCAGATGGAACAGAACAGAACATTTATTTTTTCTAATTTAGAGCCCATAACAGACAAGTATGAAATTATTACAATAATAAAGAAAAGATATGCCAATGGATAGTGTAACAATTTGTAAATGACATTGCTCATATCAACAATAATATTGTACTATTTCAGTTAAAGGGAATACTATATATAAAAGTGTATGGCTACTACAACATGTTATCATTTATGAATTTGCCCACAGAATTAAGAGTTTCTTTGTCTTCAGTATTGAGTAACCAAAAAAAAGTTTTTGTTCATATGATATGATATGATATTATATAGAATTATTCAATAATTATTCCTTTCTTAATTCTCATTCATTATTTCATCTTCCTACTATATGATAATAATGAAATGAAAAAAAATATAATTAAAAACATCAATTATAATTCATTGATATTTAAATTAATTTATAATTGCATTCAAGCAATTATAAATTAATTTAAATATCAATGAATTATAAATGATAGACTAACTTTAAAAAAAATGTTTGTTTGAACTCTCCCGACCGACTGGCTAAAAATGCCAAGACTCAAAACGTTTTTTAACCTCAAAGAAAAGATATTTTACATTTTATTTTTGTTCCTGATTTTCCCTCAACATGTAAGTTGAATTTTACTGAGAATTTTTTTGTTGTTGAGTTTTCTATCTTCAATGCGATGCGCCTCTCAGGCCTTCAGGCCTTTGATTAAAAGGAATGCAAACATTGGGACAGGAGAAGGAGCATTCTTTTGAACCTGCTGTTACACTGGTGTGTCCAATAATCCCAAAAGTAACCTCTAAGGAAAGTTATTAAAAGTACATTATTATAAAGGAATTATACAAATAGTTATTAGATTTTAAACTGAAATAAAATCCCCCTTAGCATATAAATTTAAAGCATTTTTAGCTCACCTCAACAAAGTTCAGGGAGCTTATGTAATACTCTCGGCGTTGGCGTCCCAGGTTAAAGTTTTTGGAGTAGATTTCTTTTCAAGTACTTCTGTGCCCTATATTAATGAAGTGCATGGAGGATGCTTCTAGCAGGTTTCATTGTACTAGTCAAAGTTTCAGATGCTGCAATTTCAGCTTAAGAATGACCAGATTAATGTTTTTTGAGCAGGTTAAAGTTTTTGGAGCAGGTAAAAGTTTTTGGAGCAGGTCTCATTTCCAAGTAACTATAAGTCGTACAATGATGAAAGCATTCTCCGGTAGTGTAGATTCAGTTTTGTTCAAATCATGACCCCGAGGATAAGGGTGAAGCCACCATGGGCAATCAAAGTTTTACCCATGAATACAATCTAGGAAAGTTTTTAAAATTCTTTTTATCAAGAACAGCAATGTCATGATTAATCATATTTATATGAAAGCATCCTCAGGTAGTGTTGATTCAGTTTTCTTCCAATCATGACCCTGGGGGGTAGAATGGGGCTACCATGGGTGATAAAAGTTTTACATAGGAATATATAGGAAAATCTTATTTTAGGGAACAGCAAACCCATGATGAGTCATATTTATATTTATGAAAGCATCCTCAGATTCAAGTTTGTTCAAATCATGACTGGGTGTAGGATGGGGCCAGAATATGTGATGTTAATTTTACAAAGGAATATATATAGGGAAAATCTGATGATGAAGAATAGAAGGGGCAAGGTTATTCAGGTGAGCATTGTGGCCCATTCGCCTCTTGTTTTATTTTGTAGTTACCACAGATTGGTGCCTGTCCAAGTGAATATAAAGAAAGAAATGACGGCACATGCTGCAAAACAAAGATTTGTTCTCCAGGTTTGAAATCCTTATCAATTAACTGAAACAGAAAATGATGTAATGTTAAAGAAATTTGTCAGTGTAACTCTTAAGTTTTTGATGTTATAATTTCAGGAGAAGGGTACTTGTTTTGCAATGATACAAGTAAAGATCCTGGTGAAGATATCTGCTTTAAGTGTCCAAAAGGGACTCATAATAAAGATGCCATCAACACAGGTGATATGCCTGAGGTCTGGCAAGTCTGTGTCCCACAAGATTGTTCTTGCAAGCATGGTAAGTATTTTTTATAAAAGCTACACATATAGTTTTAATATTTGTGGAAGATTAGGCCATCTTCAAAAAAAAAAAAAAATTTGCCCTCTCCTGACTCAGGATTAAAAAAAAAACTTGGTCGGTAGGTAGGAAGTAAAAAAAAAATTCCTGTTAAATTTTTGAAATTTATTGAAATTGAAGATGTTAATAAAACCAAAATACAGTTGAACTTTGGTATCTTGAACACTGATATCTCGAATACCATGAATATGTTGAAGTGATTTGAAAGAAACAATTACTATTTTTTATATATATTTTTTAAAAAGGGCCAGAGACACAGATTTGAAGCTCATATTTTCTAACATTTTCTAAATAATATCTTTACGTATATGTTGAGCATTTCACACCGAAATATATTAAAAGCATCTGAAGAAAATTTTTTATCTGGAAATTATTAAAACTACGATTTTCAAGACATATTTGATTGACACAAATCCTTGCTCTTTCACAAAGTAAACTTTGTCCATAATACTTGAGAAAAGTAGAAATTTTGTTGTGTGTTAATGAAAAATATGAAAACTATAATCAAGAAAGTTCAGAGTAGAAATGCGAGAAAGCAAAACCAACAGTGACTTGTGTAGACTAAACAAATTGAATACACCCAGTAAAACATAAACACTTAGCAATAACCGAGCTCATGCACTGTTTACAAACACAGATGTTTGATGTGATGTTATGAAGAATGTCATTGTCATTGAATTCTTAGAATATTTATGTATTAAGTTCAAATAATTAAACTGAAGTTATTTTTTGGATTAAAATAGACATTTAAAATTGTAGATAATGTAACTGTGTCGGCGGGCCCCTTTATTCTCAATATCACAAATCCTTTGGTATCTCAAAGTTTTTTTGGCCACATCAAATTTGAGATAAGGAGGTTTTACTGTAGTTGTTTACGGGATAAGAAAATTTTGGAATGAATAAAAAAAATAATCATTTCCTAGCGGTTCAAAAAAATTTTGAGTCGGACCATTTTTAGCTCACCTCAACGAAGTTGGGAAAGCTTATGTAATACTTGGCGTCAGCATCCGAAGTCAAATTTTTAGGAGCAGATTTCTTTTCAAGTACTTCTATGCCCTATATTAATCAGAGATGCATGGAGGATGCTTCTAGTATGTTTCATTGTACCAGTCGAGTTTTCAGCTAAAGAATGACCAGGTTAATGTTTTTGGAGAAGGTTAAAGTTTTTGGAGCAGGTCTCATTTCCTAGTAACTATAAGCCCTATATTGACCAAACTTGCATGAATGATACATCTAAGGATGCACACTACTGGACTTGTTTCGGATGCTGGATCTGACCTACATTTTCCGAATGAGTTATCAGGTTAAAGTTTTTGGAGCAGGTTAAAGTTTTTGGAGCAGGTCTCATTTCCTAGTAACTATAAGCCCTATATTGACCAAACTTGCATGGATGATTCATCTGAGGATGCACATTAGGCCATCATTAAAAATATCTTTGTTTCCCCTAACCCGACCCTAAAATTTCAAGATGAGTAGGTAGGTAGGTAAATTATTTTTTTTCTGACAGCAGTTTTGAAAATACATTCTGAAAATTGAACAATATCTCTATAAATGAGAAAGAACAAAAGGAACCGATTTTTAAACCGAATATCATACAAATGAAATTTAAAAGCAACATGTATGGTAAATTAATTCACAAATACTATTCAGTTGAACTTGTGAAATATCTCAGGCCAGCGTAAATTTATTGAAATTGAATTTTTACAAAAAGACAAGATTCGCAAATACTCAACCATCGGCCATCCGAGTATATTTTTATTTCAAACCTACTATCATCTTCGAGTGCTTACACAGATAAAATGTCAAGGGCCTTGCGTGGCGAAGTAATTCTAGTGTTTCGTTTTGAAGTCACGACGTAATTCAGGAGCTTATTCTAAGTCACGGGTCCCGACGTGGAGCGTGGAAACTAGTCAGTCAAATGAGACCGTAAAAAAACGTAGGGCCATGCAGTGTCACAGTATACATGTAGACGTTGGCACGATATTGTTATTGATGCTTTATGATCAATGGCCATAAGTGCCGAGAAAAAGTCTAAATTAAGAGCCCTCCACCAGGCAGGTGTTCAAATGTTGTCGACCCAGCAATTTTTAAAGGTATTTTAAAGCAAAGAAACAACCTATTTTCAAGGGCCCAACTAAAGAAAAGAAAAATACACTGCACATCTCAGGAAGCGCACCATAAGCCAACTTTGAAGATTTCAACACTATTTGAAAAGAGAGTACTTGTATAAACAATATTTAATTCAACCAAACCATATCTAAAATGATTAAAGTTTCATATATCTAATGTTATAGTCACGAAGTTTACCCCATAAATAAAAGGAATGAAGAAACGACATCCGAATTATATTCATCAAGGTGAAATAATTATACAAAGATATATTTACAATCATATGGTCCTATATAGTAAAAATAGAATCATACATGAAGTGTTTTTTAGATGGAAATAATTGAAATGGAGTGAAATTTATTTATATGCATACACAAATTGGGCCCCTCTTCTGCTCATGAGGCAGGTTTTGTCATGCTTACTACGTAAGTTAATTTTAGAAGACACGTTTGTAAATGCCATCTTAACACTCCTTAGTCATGGTATATTTAATTCACGAAATGTTTCCAGAGTGTAGGATTCTAATAAGTTAAAGATGTATATTAAGATTGATACATTGCCGTTGTTTTATAACACTAAATTACCCTCTGTGGCCACATGTTGTGGGCGCCAAATGAGAGTAAAACAAAACCCGCCGTTCTGATAAAAAACGAATTTTGATGAAATTGTGTTTTATAAAGTTGATAAACAATAAAAATAAATATTTGAATAATCTTATTAAAAAAACTTTTCAGTCGGCACGATTTCAGTGGGTCGGTCGCGTTAGGGGAAACAAACCTATTTTTTATTTTGGCCTTACTGGACTTGCATCAGATGCTGGATCTGACCTACATTTTCTGGATGAGTGAGCAGGTTAAAGTAAACTATAGGGCTATCTGAACCAAACTTACATGGATGATGCATCACAGGATGAACACTCTCAAACTTGATTCAGATGCTGGATATGACTTTTCTGGATAAGTGACTAGTTTAAAGATTTTAGGTAAGTCTATTCCCAAGTAAATGTAAGTCCTATCAGACCAAAATTGCATAAATGTTACATCTAGGGATGCACACTACTAGATTATTAGTTTGGGACTTTGCCTTACTTAAAGACAACATTCGTTGAGGTGAGCTTTGTAATCTCTGATTACCAATGTTTAGACAGTTGGGAGAGGGCAAACAGAAATTTTTTTAAAGATGACCTTATTTGTAAGTACCAGTACTGTTATGTTAATCTATGTCATGTCTTGTAGAAGGTTATATAAATTAATTGCCTTGGTTTTAGGGCAATATAATATGTCAAAACTAAATTAATGAACAAACATTGAGACTTTTAAAAGATGCTTTGATTTTGTTTATTAGATGGAACAATTATTGAAAGTATGGCAGCTTGTGAAACAGGAGAACAGAAGACTTGTGTCTGTGACAGAAATCATCTTTACTTTGGACTTGATCCAGTGATCTGTCAGAGAGTGGAAGACCCCAAAGTTATTGCCAGCATCCAGCGTCCTGGATTCGAGCTCACCCCCACTGGTAATTTCATATAAATCATGGGCTAATTCTGTATCAAGTTGTATCAACAAAAAGGATATTTATGAGATCACCTGAGTGACTCAGGTGTCTTATGAAAAGTTAAGTTGGTGTAACAGCACATGATTTCGCATTTTAAGTACATTGTAGCTTGACAGGTTGGGACAATGTTTTTCCCTTTGACAATTGTAATAATCTAAACTTTTTCACACAAGTCACTGATTTTGCATTCATGAAACCAGACATGTAAACAACAAAAACTGATAGAGTAGATTGCAATGCTCTACACAATTTATACATGTATAGTCAAACCTCATTATCTTGAACTTGAAGCATACATGTGATATGTACAGGCTGTACGCAAAATGTACAGTTTTTTGAGCTCATTCATCGTGTACCGGCGGGACACCAAAATTCACGGAATATGAAAATTTGTACAGTATTTTGAATTTCTCGCTAAATGCCGCCATTTTCCTCTCATTCTCGCTCACGAGACACTGGAAAACGTCACCTGTGTTTGACACCTGACCTTCTGATAATTGTGTAGTGTACACAAACCATCGCGTGCGAAGGTGTGAACTGCCAATTGGGATAATTATCTTGCTATAAATCTGTATCAAATACCCCTTTAGGTAGCTTTATTTTTTAAGGGGTACTTAATTACTGTTAATGTTTCGTAACTTGATTGAAAAAAATTAAGCCAACTTCTAAAGTTGATAAACATGACTTTAGTCTTAATATACGTGAATCTGACCCAGATCTTCGTAGGTATAAAATATACGATGTTTATTACAATGATTACGATGGAATTTCAGAAGAATTTAAGCGATATTTTATACCATTTTTTGTACCGTTTTTTGATAGGCAGTGTACAGTTTTTTCACCCAAATTCCAGTTTTTTTATGGCTCCTGTACAGTTTTGTGGTCTTTGACTTATCACATGTATGTTGAAGGGACAAAGAAAATACTAAGAGATATCCAAGGATTATAGGGAAAAGAGTACTAATTATTTTCTCATAGAACTCTATACAAACCTTTTGCCCTCTCAGTACTCTACTTATTCAATTTCAGACAAATCCTTGGCACCATTTGAAACTTTATTCTAAGCGCTTATAAAAAAGCCCGAAAAAAATATAGGGTCCCATGGCGTTTATAGGTCAAAATTGCAGTTGTTTACAACTTATAGGGATCGGCAGTAAATGACACTATGCCAAAAATATCAACCCCCACTCCTACAATCTCCCCTGGTATTTCTATATTCTCTGTAATATTCCCACATTCCATCATTTATTTCAAACATTAATATTTTTACTTTAAGGATGGATTCTTCTCATATTTCTTATAATGGCAGAATCTTAATTTTCTGAATACTCAATATTCAGACTGTTTACACTATTTTAACATCCAAAAACTTTGGTGTCATCGGCCTTGATTTTCAGTCAAGGTCATTTGAAAGTCAGTCCTAAAAATAGTACTTTTACACAGAGAAGTTTTGAAATTTATGCATATGAATAAATTTTGCTGACTGAAAAAATATCTTTCACAATAAAATTAAAGTTGTTACTTATTTTTGATGACTAATTCATATGAAATGAGCTGGTGAAAAGATAACATGAAATCCTTTATATTCAATAAATATATTTAATCCGAATTTCCTCGATATTTTTTCAAAATTCTCAGTTTTTATGAATTCACATGAAATTTCATCTCAATTTTTACAATTGACCATATAATGTCAAATATTTAGATTTTTGTCTGATGAATATTCAAAAGTTCAAGATTAATTTACAAAGTAAAAAAGATATAGTAATCAGGCAAATTATCGAAAAAAAAATTAGCCCGAATTTGCTCTATACTTTCCGAAATCTTCATTTTACAGAGTGTTTTAAATGTCTATAAAAAAGATTTTTAATCCCTAAAAACATATCAATTTGGTGTAATTGTGACATAAATACATTCATTTCTCCCAGTTATACATTCTATTTTTATGGTATTTTACACTAATGATATTCAAAATATTCATTTCGAATTTCCTCTGTCATTTTATTCTTATGAATGTTATGTTTGACAATTTTATAAAATACATCAATTTTCTAGTGGCAATTACAGAAAAATTATCACATACATTCTTCACATGCACAGGACTAATTCAAAGCAACTTAACCTTTAATATAACCAGGAATAAATAATAAACCTTCCAAAAAGTTATGAGAAAAATCATACATAAAATTTTTTCATAGACTAGAAAAGATTTCAATACATTATTTATGACATAAACGTGAAATCAATATACATGTATAGTGAACATGCCATTCAAAGCTTAATATATGAATATCAGAGGGACTAATATATATGCCTATACATGTATATGTAGTTATATACATATAGGTCCCTGGTATTATGTTATTATTGGATATTTTACATTTGTAAACTGAGTTTTGAAAACAACAAGCAAATTCAAAGAATTGTGGTCCCCCGCTTTCGATGTCTTAGTGAATGGGATGCCATTATTTATGCCATATTTTAACTGTCTTGTTTGTTTGTCCTGTCTTATCTGTGCATCATACAAAAAAACATAAATTATTGAATTAATAACAGTTATGGCAAAGACTATAGCTTCTCAAAACTACATCAAACTTCAAGATCAAGGTCATGAGGTCAAATATCATAATAAAATCCAAAAGATCTTCTCACAAGTGATGCACATGTAAAAAAAAATATCAGAAACCATGATATACAATCAGAAAGGTCTTGAAAAAAATGTAAATACCATCTCTTCTCTCAATCAAATGTTATTAGCAAGGATAAACTTTTTAAAAATTAGGTCAAACTTCAAGGTCAAGGTCATGGGATTAAAAATCATAGTACATTTGGAAATGCTTGTCACAGGTAATGCACTTGTCAAATATGAATGCCCTATCTTTGATCCTTCAAAAGTTAGCAAACTGATGAAATGTTTGAAAATTAGGTCAAACTGGAAGGTCAAGGTCACGGGGTCAAATATCATAGCATATTCAGAAACATTTTGACACAGGTAATGCACTTGTCAAATATGAACACCCTATCATATGTCATTCAAAAGTAATCACCAAATATAAAATTTTTGAAATTTAGGTCAAACATGAAGGTCAAGGTAAAGGGGTCAAAAATTATAGCATGCTTGGAAACACTTTGTCACTACTAATGCACATGTTAAATATGAAAGCCCTAACTATTCTAAATCAAAAGTTATAAGCAAAGATAAAAATTTTGAAAAGTAGGTCAAACTTCAAGGTTATGGTCATGGGGTCAAAAAATCATAGTACACTTGGAAAGGTATTCTTACAGGTAATGTTCATATTTAATATGAAAGCCCTATCTTTTTTCATTTAAATTTAATGACCAATTTAACGAAATGTTAATTTTCTGAAAAGTAGGTCAAACTTCAAGGCCAAGGCCACGGGGTCAAAATTCACAGTTTATTTGGAAAGGTCTTGTTACAGGTAATGTACATGTGAAATACAAAAGCCCAATCTCTTCTCACTCAAAAGTTATGGCCAAGGTTAAAGTTTTTGTGACAGACAGCCCGACAGACGAATGACATTTAATGTCCCCTCTCTTTCGCGAATGCGAGGGACAATAAATACCTACACACATTTATAAGTATATAGTTTGTTCAGCACCAATAAATATAACTCCTCATTGTGATCACATATTGCGTAAAATTTGCTGGAGTTTTAAGATAACAAAAAAGCCATCTATGACAATCAAATGCCCTTTGACATCTTTGCCTGAAAATGACATCCTTGAACTTTGTAACAATAATATGCATGCAGCTATCCAACTTAATTTCACATTTAGATGCAAAATACTTATTCAAGGATGAAATTTCTTTTTAAGAATTTGTAGCGCAAACATTTATTGATCAGTGTCAATAACTTATATTGAAATGAATTAAAAATTATCTCTTGAGGGTTTCTACTGCAAGTACATGTATGTAGTTCATTTGTAAAAATCTAAATTTTAACCCGGCCACTACCAGCAATTTTGTTCGGCATGCTCTTGCTTAAAATCACCCTTTAACTAAATGATCTAAAGCAGGCACATTTTTATGTATTCCAGAACTGTATTTTAAGATTTTAACTGTAACTTTGAAAATGTAAAGCAACTGAATACATAGAGCTAGGTATATATCATTTACAAGTTGTTGTAATGCCAGTACATGTAAATCTTCACATTGTAATCTAATGAAAAATAATGCTTGAAAAATTCACTCTGGGAGTAAGATTTCAAATCTGAATCAAAGATTTTGTAAAGTAATCACATTCTACAAAGTGTGCACTGTATCGGGTACTTGGGAATCAAATAATCAAACATTATATAATTATAAATAAAACTATTTTTGACTGAAAGTTTCTGAAAAAAATCAAGAATGGAATCATGCAACAAGCAGCAGTGACTATGATAACATGCATTGACTTCCACATTTCTACAAAAACATTTCTTTGATCAGATAAATATGTAATTCCTGCTTCTGATCTGTGATATATTCTGAGAAAATCTCTTTTCCACAGACAGCCATCATTCATTTGATGTGAGAATTTCTTGCTGAACATGTGTCCACCTGATGAAAGTCCAAATTTTTTGTTGACCTATAATTTAAAAAAAAAAGTAATATATTTTACATAGCAACACAGATGCTGCATTACATGATAGTTAGATAAAGTTGTGCCCATATTTCTTATACATGTACCTCAATAGTCCATCTGCCAGCACTCCTTGCTCAATCATCCTGCATTCTGACCTCCAGTCTTTTTTCTAGTCTAGGGTAAAGTAGGGTTGATTTTCTCCTAAGAATTAAACATGAACATCCCTTAGACTATTTTTTTAAATTAATGGAAATTGATTATAAGATTAAACAACTTATCTCATCTGTATTTCATTTATTGATTTAAATGAATGAAGATATTTTAATAGATTCTACCATATGCATAATGTCTTATATTATAATGTATTGGATATAA